TCTTTTTTAGGAGTCTCCCTTCATTTTAAATTTCACCAGAATAGCTAGTATTTCAAGGAATGTGCTTCTCCAAGCTTCTTTTGCAAGCAAACCCTACTCCTTTTTGCAAGCAAGTCTTACCACCTTCCTCCCTTTCCTGCCGTCCTCAACCACATTAGAGGTCACATTATGCTTTGGAATATAAAACAAACTCACATGAAAAGAAAGTGTTCAAACTTTAAATTCTTATGTATTTTAGATCATTGGTTCCCAAGTCTATCTGCTCCTCAAAATCATTTGGGGAGTTTTTTTGTGTTGGAGGGAGGTGGTTAATATAGATTCCTGGGCTCCACTCCAGACCTATCTCAAAATAGAATCTTGAATAGGGTGCAAGAGTCTGAATTTAAAATAAAATTTAATATCTTTAATTAAAAAAAAACCTACCCAGTTACTTTGAAAAGTAGCTGGACTTGAGAACCACTGTTATAAACTGGAAGGACTTAAGAAATTCAGAAACCATAAATCTGTCATGGCTGAGCAGTCAGGGAAAACTGGTGAAAGTGGGGTTTGACTGAGCCACGTAGACTGTCAAGTATAGTAGACTACACATGGACAGCCGCGGAAAGGGCACAGGGTTCTCCAGGAATGAGTAATGACATGACAAAGGGAAGAGGCAACATAAGCTAGAGGCTTTGTTTGTGGCTCTATGAGATGATTAGATTCACCAGAAAGCAGAGAGGGTACAGTGAGAAGTGATAGGAAATAGGTCAGAGAAAGAGGCACCTTACAGTTAGTTTTAATAAGTAATGATGCAAGATTGATCAGTGGGACCCAAAGAACAGGAGAAAGGGAGTCATGACCCTCCCTGAATTTTAGCCCCATTCTGAACTAACCAGTGGGACCCCCGAGACAGGTGATTTTGGGTTATGATTCTGAGCAAAAGGATATTATGCCCCCATTTGTAATTTTCAGCAAAATGAAAAGATAGGACTAAGTGGCATCTGGGATTTCTTACAGATGTAACCTTTATGATTCTATTTATAAATCTCACTATTTCATCATTTCCAAAAAATGAATCCTTTTAAGCATTCTTTGCTGTTCTTTGAATTTTACTCCCATCCCTTCTGGAGAGAATAAATCGCCCAATAATGTGAGCAATGGCAGGTGGTATTTTCATTAATCTCACAGTAGGAAGTCCCGCGTCTACCTTCTAGTAATGATCAACCTGGAACAATATACGCTGTTCTCCAAGGCTTGCTCTACAGACTCTGTGACCTTAATACCGATTTTTTTTAACTGAGATAAGGCCTTAAAACACACAGACTAAAGATAGATTCATATGCCACATTGACCTAGAAGAATAAAAGTCTGTAGCAAATAACATGTTAGATAAATCTGATGTGACAAGCACTTTTGCAGTAGTAGCCATTTTTCCCAGGGGACTCAGTGATATATGAAGACTAATATACTCATGAGATAATAAAGAGTACACCCTCTATTTCCAAGTACACTTGATACAACCCCAAATCAATTTTCTCCTCTTTTTGAAGTTGGTTCCAATCTGTCAAGATCCATCCCTGCTTGGCCTCATCTCCAGCCATGTCCCTTTTCCCTTCATATTATTTAATGACTACCATTGCAAATCACAGAAATGAAGATTCAACGGAAGATAAAATGTTGCTGCTGAGACAGAGAATTCAGTATACCCTCTTTCAAACTGTCTTGCTGATAGCTGATGAGATTATTCTCATAATTCTTGGGAATAATTCTTTTGTTATTTTCCATAAAGTATAGAATAAGATCCAAGAAAGATTTCAAGGACAAAGGAATTATGGCAAAGGTCCACAAACAAAGCAAAAAGCAAGATGAAGTTAAGAAAACCTCCTTTTCTTAAGTCTACTTATTGCTAGGACTCTGTACTATACTAGGGATATCTGATGGCTTATCTGAGTTCCAAATAAAAGATTTACAGTATAAAAGCTGTAGAAGAAATAGAATGATTTACTCAAGAAGCCCTAGTCCTATTTCTTATACGATTTGTGTCCTAACAAATGATCCATTTAAAAGTGGTGCCAAGAGGTAGTGGAACTGACTTCCTATTTAAAAAAAAAAAAAAATCCGAGGAGAACAGCATCATTACCAAATCCTTACGAGTTTACTGACCCATGTCAGTAAACATGTTTATTATAATTAGAATAATTTATAAATATATATGTAACAGAGTTCAAAAGCAAATAGGCGATGGATAAGGAAAATGTTACAAAGCAAAATCTAGTATATATTTGTTATAGTGGACATAAAGCTTATCACATTATCTGATGAATAATGGTCTTTCTTAGCTGTAAATAATCAGAGATAGATTTATGGATAATCAGATTTGAACTAGACTTTGGAGGATCAGCACAGTTAAACACTTTAATATTTTGAGGGTTCTCTCTGAATGTCTTGTCAACTCTACCACCTAACTGAACTTATTTCTTCCCTTATCTCCATCTCCTCTACCACTGCCCTCATTCCAGCCACCATCTTCTCTCCCCTGTATGCCTGCTACGGCCTCCTTTCTGTTTTCTCTTTGGCCCAATCCAATCGATTGTGTCAGCCTACTTATCATTCCTGGAACATACCAAGTGCTTTCCACCTCATTGCCCTTGTCTGTAGCTTTCACTGCTGTAGTGTGTATGGTACATTAGCTGCCCAATAAATATATGTTGAATCAATGAATAATTGTTTCTTCTTCTGGTTTGTAAGCTCCATGAGAACAGAGACCATATCTGTTTCATTCCCCACTCTATTCCCAGAAGTCAACATAGCACTTAAGACATAGTGGACATTCCATAAATATCTACTGAAAGAAGAAAACAAGGGACAAAGGAAGGAAGGAGAGAAGGGAGGGAGGGAGGAAGGAAAGATTGAGCAAAGACCAAGTCTGCTACGTGAGTTTTGCCTTAAGAACATGTTATTATCCTTGCCATTATAATGATATTTCTTCGAGTTCCTTTGGAAGTATGTAACACCACAATGACATATCATGGAGTAAAGCAGGAAAGCCCGTTTGGCCCTAGTAGAATTGTTTTATAAATATTTGACAAAATGTGCTGTTCTGAAAAACAATAAATACCAATAAAAATTCCATAGATGCAAAATTAGCCCCAAAGCATTATCACTAATACCTATGATCTGTATTTCCAAATGGTAGCTAAATGGTATGCGTGTTTTCAGCCATTTTCATAAGCTTTTTACTTGAATCTTAAGAACGACTCTAGGCACATGGTAGAAACTATCTTATAACATCCACATACGGTAGTTTGATTCCTATAAAACAATTGCTTATGCTCAGAGAAACATCATGTTTCTAATGCTGGAGGTAATATTACTTCAGTGACACTATCAAAATGAATTGTACTTCTTGTTTAGTACATCAAGAGATATGCCATTATCTGTTGGATTTAACATGTAACATCAAGCCTCTTTCATATTTAGTACCTCAGGGTATACAATGAAGTAATAATGTATTATGAAAAGAAAATTGTTTTGCACTCTTTCTTGTAAATTATTTTTCCTTTCCCATTCTCCATGTGTTCAGAGATTTTTTCTTTTAAAAAAAGGTAACATTTTAAGCATAGAGATGTGCATGATTTAAAAAACTCCTCATCCTGTTTTCTGTGTTTATACCATTTTTATACTATATTATAAATTCCTAGTGGTCTAACAAAGTATGATTTTGTTATTAACCTTGGTCAAATGAGAGGGTTTTTTTTAACTATAATATCAAAAGAGCTGCAACGACCACTTTTGGGTAAAGAATTGACAAACAGGGATGCTTGGGAGTCTCATAGGTTAAGTGTCTGCCTTCGGCTCTGGGCATGATCCTAGGGTCCAAGATTGAGTCCTGCATCAAGCTTCTTGCAGGGAGCCTGCTTCTCCCTCTGCCTGTGTCTCTGCCTATCTCTGTGTCTCTCATGAATCAATAAATAAAATCTTTTTTTAAAAAAATAACTTACAAACATATATACTCTGTGGTGTATATGTAAAGTCTGTAATGTACAATTTTGGTCTCATTCACCACAACAGAAATTTTAGTCTCATAAAGAACATCAGACGTTTTTCTCAAATCAGAAAACAAAAACTGAATTTACTTTAAGGTGAAAATAAATGCAACTTGGATAAAGGAAATCGGAACTGAAGTTTCCTAACTGAATTATCTGTGGTTTTGTTTTAAGAGTACTGGTCCAAGGGCACCTGGGTGGCAATATGGCTTGAACATGCAACTCTTGATTTCAGCTCAGGTCATGATGGGGGGATCGAGCTCCACATCTGGCTCCCAGCTGGGCATGGAGACTGCTTAAGACTCTCTCCCTCTCCCTCTGCCCCTCCCACCCCTACCTCCATCCCCTTGCATGGCTTGCTTGTGCGGGTCCACTCTTCCACGCTCTCTCTCTTAAAAAAAAAAAATAATAATAATAATAGAGTACTTGTCCAGTGTTTATGAAGCAACTTTTCTTTAAAAGCACTACACTGCCATCTGCCATCTCAGGAGTTATTTTTCTGGGATTATAGCTGACCTTAACAATTTTCTTTGCTGTCAATTTTTATGATTAATTTGATAATCTTCTGCTGATATGCTAATAATATAGACCTTCTATTATAGCAAACTATCAAGTTTCATTCTTTGCTTTTCTTCCTGACCATTAAAAACAACAATGTACATGATTTCCTAAAATTCAGTAGGTTTACAAATTAGGCTTTTTATACCAATTTTAATTTCTCCTAATTAGAGAGAAAAATCACAAAATATGGGAGAGCTCTAAAACAATACTATTGGAACATCTGGGTGGCTCAGCAGTTGAGCATTTGCCTTTGGCTCAGGGCATGAGTCTGGTCCGGAGATTGAGTCCCACATCAGGCTTCCTGTGAGGAGCCTACTTTCCCCTCTATGTCTCTGTTTCTCTCTGTGTCTCTCAGGAATAAATAAATAAAATCTTTTTAAAAATAAATAAATAAAACAATACCATTACCATTACTGCAGTCAAGTCAGATTCAGCTCCCATTCCCATCATAGTGGGAAATGGCCAAATAGCCACAGCAAGCCCTGCAGCTTGTGGGCTCTGAATCCCCTGCCCTGGGACCTGGGGATAAAAGTTTGGCTGCAGACAGGACAAAAAATAAAATAATAAAATAAAATAAAATAAAATAAAATAAAATAAAAAATATCATTATTCTGTCTTCAAGAGTTAATCACTGATAACATCTTGTTATCCTTTTCTACCTAATGTATTTTAAGTAGCCTTTCATGCAATTAATCAACAAATATTTATTGATTGCCTACTATGTGCTAGTCATCATTCCAGGTATTGGCAATACTGCTATGAACATAACAGTTAAAATGTCTGCTCCTATGGAACTAACATAATGGTAATGGAAATAGAGAATGATAACTATATAATACAGGAATGTAAGTACTCTGAAGGAAAAGGATTTCAACTAAATAGTGTAATTTACAGAAATAGAATTACCAGGAAAGGAAAACATTGAAGAGAATCACAGGTGTGATTTTAGATTTGTTCAGTTCAGTTTACAAGGGCCATTAGCTCATCTGAGTATGATGGCACCATTTGTTTCTAATGGTTTGTGGTCTGTTTTTCCTCTTGGCCTTTTATGAATACTTTCCCATTTAAAAATACATATTTCTACTTGGTGATCTAAAAAACGTACCTAGAAAATCCATCCATTCCTGAATATTTGTCTCCTTTTTAATAATTATAATTAAGAGTTATCAGAAATTCTTTACATGCCTATTTTTAGACATGCCTAATTATTTTGTTATAGTAATTCCTAAACATGAAAATACTTGATCAAAGAATAAGCACATTTTAATGCTTTTGTTTTTTTATTGGTCAATTTTTTTCTCCAGAAAGATTACATCAGTTTTCCCACAAGTTTTCCACTAAGTATTTTTTATCTTTTCTTTTTTGAAAAACAAAGTGTTTCTTTTCTATGTTTGATATAATACAAAAATTAAAGCTAACATTTATTGAGAAATTATTGCCTGCCAAATGCTGTGCTATGCATTTACATGTATCATTTCATTTGGAAGTTAAGAAATTAAGATTTCAAAGAGTTAATAAATTGCCATCAGCTATTAAGTCAGAGCTAACATCATCTGGTTCTATAACCTATTTCTATCAAATTGCAACACTATATTCAACTTAATTAATAACTGATTGGTAATTAGTGTTTAACAATGTGTTTTTTTATATTTAATATATTTTTTTACGTTTACTGGAGTTGTTTCATAATTTTCATGCTGTCAACTCATTTGTGCATTTATTTATTCTGTGCCACAATAGATTCTATGGAAATAATGTTGAGTTAAAAGAGACATGGGCTCTAACCTCATGGAAGACATGCAGCCCAGTGCAGGAAAGAGAGCAGACTCAGATTAGAAAAAGAACTGCAGGCAGGGTCAAGCAAAGGTTTTTTTAAATCCATTCCCAGTCATGGCAACAGTGGAAAGTCAGGGCCAGCACTACAGCTTGGAAGGGCCCTCAACTAGACTCTGTAATAAAAGTTGAGGAGCTCTGAGCCCTTACTCAACTGGAAACCCTACTATTAATTCTCAGAAGTTAAACCTGAATTTTGGAGTGGTCACGACAAGTGCAATGTTTTAAGGCTGGGTTTAGGGTGTAATGTTGTAGCTTCCTGAATTGAAAGATATGAGGGTTAATTTTTTCTGTCAACTTGACTGGGCTAAGGGATGCCCATATAGTTGATAAAACATTATTTCTGGATACGTCTGTGAAGGTGTTTCTTGAAGAGATTAGCATTTGAATTGTTCAAATGGGTATAGTAGATGGCCCTGTCCAGTATAGGGCATCATTCAATCTACTGGAGAGAACAAAAAGGTAGAGGAAGAGCTAATTCGCTCTCTCTCTCTCTCTGCTGGAGCTATATCTTGACACAGAGATAGAGATACAGAGAGATTGAAAGAGAGAGAGAGATCTTATTGGTTCTGCATCCCTGGAGAACCCTAACACAGAAGACAATGCAAATATGAGCATGAGGAAGTCAGAGCTCCTCTGCCTGGCAGGACCCCCACCCATATGAACCAGAGGACCCACAGTGAACTTTCACATGGGCTAAGGAAAGCACACAGTAGGTTATCTATTTTACCAAGATAACCTTTGCTCTCTCTACTTAAAAGCCTCCATTCTACCAACTCGCTAACATGCAGAAACCTTGGGTTTCTTCAGCTTGGAAAAGCAGCATTTTACAGAGAAGGAAATAGAGTCTCTAAATCAACGAAATTATGACTAAAGTGGCCTTTGATCAATCACATCATCAGAGATTGAAAAATATGCCATTAGAAATGATTTCCTGAAAAAATAATCAATTGCAAAATCCCAGCCAATTCCAGCAGAACCAGAACACAGAAAGTATCAGCAGAAGACAGCTGAACAGAGGTTTCCACACCAGAACAGACCTGAGAGTATCATCTTCGACACACTGAGGACTTGCTCTTATCAGGTGCTTTGCATAAAGAGCTAGATTTGCCAGGGGATCCCTGTTGTAGCCTGTATACTATTGCATTTGCCATTATTTAGCTAACGTAGAGTCAAGTGTATGTAGTTTCATTAGAAAGCATAGATTCAATCATTCTCCTCTAATCATTTTGTCATCTTTTTAAGATCTGAACTAAGAACCTCCCCATCAAAGTGCTGTTGTGTATGGATGGATTCCTGAACAATAAAGTCAAGATTCTGCTACCTAAAATGAGCAGAACCAGATGCACAGCCTCTCTCCCAAAATGCTGTCTGCAGCCTTATTTCTCCTGGGCACACTGGGCTACACTCTCATATTCATCATTTTATTTCTTCCTTACAACAGCCTTGTGAATTATGCTAGAACAAATATTACTAAACTCCCATAAAGAATGGAGAAACTAAGACTCAAAATGGGTGACTTGTCTGAGGTCCCACAACCAGTCCGTGAGGCCTAAAATTCTGGCTTCTATTCAGTCACAAAACCAGCACTTTTCCATCTCATCAGACTTCTTGTATTTCAGCATGATTTTTAAGTTTTGGGGGAGAGAAAGCATTATATTAAGACTCTTAAGTTCAATAAGCTTATCATCAAACTTGCTTTTTAAAATGGGTGTGATGCAATTGGTCGCAGAGGCTGTAAAAAACTCTCCCCGTGGCTTTGAGAGCCTTGTTTACTGCTCATTGATCGCTGTGACAATGCTACCATAAATAACCCCAGATAAATTGCTGTGTATAATCACAGAAGACATCCATATGCATGAGTCACCTGTCAGCTCTCCAATCCCATCATTTCCAATACCTGTCAACATGTCATCAAGGACTCTCTGAGTTTCTGACACAAAACTTACTCTCTCAAGAAGTTGAAAATCACGCACGGCTATACAGATTTGTGGTTGAAGAAAACAAAATAAGAAGTGCTCACTATTTGGGAGGAAGAATGTGTGTGGATTTGGCAGGTGATTCTGAACTGTTCTTTGTCCCACCCCCACAGTGCAAGGATCCAGTCTCAAGGATAGAAATTCAAATCCACTCTTTATTTGTGGTTAAACAATATTCACTGACTCACCATGTGAACCATAGGAGTCAAGGCATAGAATGTTCTTGGAATCCTCTAGAACAAACTACCAAATAGAAGCTTACCTTGATGTGATATATGTCAGCCACAGCAATTTTTCAGGAAAGGCTTTGGTCGCTTGGGCATGATAGGTTGTGAAGGCTCATTTTAAGATGTTTTAGACTTGAGAGGTCATCAATAATATAAGGGCAGGGAAGAATCAGGTCAGGACGCAAAGGCCAGCCTCCAGGTCAGCAAGGGAAGTGGAAGCAATTCCCTAAACCCAGGAACAGAGGATGAGATTCCATCAGTCAAGAGTCAGGAATCAAACAATTCACAGCAAGAGGGAGGCAGGAAAGCAGTAATACACATGGACAATCCACAGGTAGGGAGAAGCAAGTAACAGAGGTCCCAATAACTAAAAAACTCAAAGCCTGAGGAGGAAAGTGACTTAGTCCATGGCATCAGTAGACATATCATGTTGTAAATCTGATCCTGATACAAGATTTGTCTCATCCAAGGGCCTCTTACATACTGGCTGCCAAGTCTCAGCACACAGGTGCAAAGAGATGAGTGGCTTCACCTGTCTAGGAGACAACTTTTGGTGGTTCTAAAAAAGATACACCAAAAATAAAAACTCAAATAAGAGTGAGTTTGCATTCTTTATTAATCTAGTAAGTGCATATGAATAAGTGTATATGTCATTTAAATAAGGCTAATAATGCACAAAACTATACCCTGAATCTGTCATGCCTGAGGGAAATGACTATCATGGGTAACAATAATAATGATAGTAATAAAAACATTGCTACATGCCAGATACTTTTTTGTGGAGAACAACAAAATAACCATAGCAAAAATGATTGCTAATTTGATTGAGCAGCTGTTAACCACTAGCCTCTGTTTCTAGGTACTTTACGTGTGATGTCTTTATTACTCTAAATAATTCTCAGTTGGGGGCAGCCTGGGTGGCTTAGAAGTTTAGCACCGCCTTCAGCCCAGGGCCTGATTCTGGACACCCAGGATCGAGTGGAGTCCCACGTCAGGCTCCCTGGATGGAGCCTGTTTATCCCTCTGCCTGTCTCTCTCTCTCTCTCTCTCTCTCTCTCTCTCTCTCTCTCTCTTTCTCTCTGTGTCTCTCATGAATAAATAAATAAAATCTTTTAAAAAAAATAATTCTCAGTTGGGTATGACACATATCTTCATTTCACAGATAAGAGACAGAGGTATTAAGTAATCTTCCCAAGGCCACACAGCTAGTGAGTCTAGATTTGAACTCATGTTTTCCAACCTCAGCAGCCATGCCTATGAGGAAGGACTAGCATGATACTAGATCTTGTGACAGTCAAAGGAGAGGGGGAAAAAATGTTCTCTTTACACTCCAAAATCTCCCTTTTCAATTCTGATTACAGTTAGCAAATAGCCTAAAATTCTCAACTTCCCCCACAATCATGTCCTTCCTCTGATATCTGAAAATGCTAAGAAAGGAAAAGTGGCAAGGAATTATCATTTACTGTAGCATATGTCATGACTGAGTGCCACATTCTCTGCCTGATACTGA